TGCATCTGCGAGTGTAGTTGATGACTTGCCAGCAGAACTCCACTGCCAACTATGTAATAAGGTGATGGCAGATGCGGTGTTAACAAGCAAGTGCTGCTTTGTCAGTTTCTGTGATAAATGTAAGCGGTTCTCTTATATTCAGTCTGTATCTTTAGATGTCTTGCTCTGTGGTGAACCAGAGTTCAGATATTCGGAGTGTGCTTATGCTCCAACTTTTTTAGTTCTTCGCAGTAGTTTCTACCATCATTTTTGTGAGTTTATGCTGCTTGAAATTGAACGAGGAATAACCATCTGTTTCCCCCTCCAGGTATTCGAGATTACATTATTACACAATCGAAGTGCATTTGTGGAGTCAAGGTCCTTGCAGATTCCCTCATCCCCAACCCCACAGTTAGGAGCACAATCAGCAATTTGTTAGGTACAAGGACTTGCAGCACTGCCAGCGGTACAGGGAAGCACAGAAGTTCTTCAGGAAGCAACCCTGATCCCAAATCACAGAGCCACACCACCTCGGCTGCTTTGGAAAGGGACACAAAGCAATGTATGGACAACCAGCTATCGGCAGCTTCTCCCGACGCCCGCCTCCAGGTCGCCACAGAAGGTGATCAAGTTGACCGCCCTCAGAAGAATTCTGATCTGAAGAGCAACACTGAAGGCTCTGCAGGGCGTTCAGTAGAGAAAGCCGTACCTGGTGCTGACCTCCCCAAACTGAAGGATGTGAGCGAATCAACTTTAAAGAACGGTACTATTTCAGGGAGCTTGGAACCAAAAGTTGCTAGGCCTGATCAGTTGAAGAAGAAGCGGAAGAAGGCAGACTCATCTAAGGCTGTTCATCCAAACAATGCTGACTATGGTTACAACGTTCCATTTGACCCTGCATATTGTAACCCTTTCAATGGTGCATATCCCATGGGTCCATTTGGTGTACCTGATCCATACATGTACGGCTCAATGGGCATGCCCTATGGTGGTTTCCCGATGGGTCCATTTGGTATGAATCCCTACGGCAATATTCCGCCGCAGGCTCTTGCCATGCAAGGCTATCCGCCAAACTATCAAAGGTGTGTGTATTATCAAGTTGCAAACCTTGTTTCTTCATTTCTACCTATAGAAATGAACATAGACATAGACATAGACATAACTTGGTCAGTGGAACGATTTAGTTAAGCCCAGCTGTAGTCAATGTCAATAGTCATTGTATCTTCTTCTGTCCATTTGAGTTTGAATATTAAACGTATTTCATTTATTTCCTTTTAGCTGGGAAAACCAGGCCGCGCTACACCGTGATGCCGAAGCTGCTGCACGCTCAAGGCAGGTCTCCCAGGGGAACGCTGAAGCTGCTGCACGTTCAAGGCAGACCGAGAGGCCAAATGACTCCGGTGCTTGGCCCAGGCCATCAGATCGCAACCAGCGCATGGGCTCTCCTCAAGGCAGAGAGTTGAGGGACAGGCCCCAGTCAAGACCTGAACCATCAGAGCGCAACCAGCGTTTGGGTTCTCCTCGCGGCAGAGAGTCCAGAGACAGGTCCCGGTCTAGATCTAAACCATCAGAGCGCAGCCAGCGCTCGGTTTCTCCTCGCCGCAGAGAGTCGAGGGACAGGTCCCGGTCAAGACCGGCAAGGAGTAGTAGGGACCATGGGCGTTCCGACAGAGGTTCCAGTGACTACCACGAGGATCACCATGACAGGAAGAGAATGCGTGTCTCTTCTACCGTTGATGGTGATACAGAGAGCAGCCAGAGGTCCAGACACAGTTCTAGGAGCAGCCTCAGGCGCGACGACGCAAGCGACGATGAGCAGAATTTCAAGAGGAAGTGGGGACGATGATCACCGGTCGCCATGGATGGATGCAAGGTTCTGAATAAAGATGGAGGACTTGTTGCAGCATTGCTGATGTCCAGTGCTTTGCTGATGAGACTTGTTTTACTAGTGATTGTATATGTCTCGGAAAGCAGAGGATAATTCCTCTTGCAGAATGTTAAACCATTATCATACCAGAGATTTGTAATATATATCTGAGAGTTCCCAGATCTCTTCCTCTGTAATGGAATGTTATTACCAAGATAAATGAAATTATCATCAGCTACATATCGAGTTGTTATTATATGCATTTCGGAAATGTGTGTCTTCCTATTTTATTTTTTGTATTTGAACCTTCTCATATGACCTAATAAATGAGTTGTTTTCCTATACATTGACTAGATTGCACATAAACCCAACTTATTCTTTAACTATTGCAAGGTGATCACCATGTTATCTGTTATCTTTTACAAGAGTATCAACAATCTCTATGGGTGGATCTCCACCCATCCCATACACACCTTACTTCTAGCTAGATTATAAATCATGAGCATCACAATTAGTCTCTTTAGGAGCATATGCTCAAAAATAATATGCGGAAAGTCATATGCAAGGTGATAAATATCATCAAAAACTGTCGCTAATAGACTGAAAGAACGACCTCCATTCTTCATTGTCTCTATCACCTCGATGCTGTCGGAGTTCACCTCTATGCACACAACCATATATCCTCACTAGCGATTTACCTCTATGAACGGGATTGACCCTATATCTGGTGTGGACCTGGTGTGGACGAACTAGCCTTGGTGTCCCCAAGGGTGTGGGAAAAATAATAATCTCCTTATCATGTTCTTTTTCCGGCAATGTGTTTGCCGTCGACGAAGAACGTGTGGAGCTTCGATTAGGGCCAGATATAGGGCCATTTGGCGGAGTAGACGGCGACAACTCGTGTTTTGGTCTTCTAGCTTATCATTTTTGACAAAGCACGACGTCAGGAAGCTATTGAGATTATTCCTCCCCGATTATGTCTAGACTCATTTGTGATGGTTGTTCAATCCCGTTCGTTGCTTTCTTATCTAGGATGGCGATTTGATCCGACCAATGACTTCCATTTGATGTGTCAACAATGTTACTTTGACTTAATGGATGTTTCGGAGATCAAAATATAACATCAAACTTTGCCCGTGGCATGCCATTGGTAAGTGCATGAAAAGACAATATCGATATATCCGAGGACATGTATGTCATTGTTTGTTTTGTAAGCCTGGTCTCATAAAGGAAATTCTCCTCCTCCTCGGTCACACCTGTACATATGACTAGATTGCACATAAACCTAACGTTATACTGCATGTACACGACCATAACATAACTTATAAAAGAAAGCACTCACTGAATTACTTACTGAGTCTCGTCTTTCTCTCGGCGCCGAGAATTTTTGACGTGTCCAAGTCGATCAGATGTTCGGCTTGCTTCTCCTCCACCCTCGCCTACGAAATGGATAACCCTTGCTGCCATAGCAGCAGGTAGCATTGATATATCAAGGACATGTGTGTTGTTGTCAATAAACTCAGACACATTCATTTTCCTTAGGGAGGTCACCGCCCATTGAAGAGGCTTCTTCCTTTCCGACCCATGTTGTTTTACCGGATCCTTGGCGTTGGTGAGCTGTTGATCTGCTAGATGGAGATGTCTTCATCCTCCCTCGAGTTGCCGGCCATCATCCACATCACCAGTGTTTGGCTGCGGGGTTCTGCTCAATGGTGTTTGGCAACGGCAAAGCTTTGATGTGGAGCCGAGTCGGTTGTTCTCCCATCGTTCCTTGGACGCATGTCCTTTACATGCATGGTTGAGTGGCACATGCAATATGAGTGGCACATGCAATATGACGCGTTGGATTAGATGCAATCCTATGGCAAACAACAGCACTCCCCCACCTTATCCGCACCACATCCCTTCCTCCTCTCCATCTTGACCGTGTACTACAACCACCGCGGCCACGTACTGCAACCGTTGCGACCACGTGGCGGGGGCGGCGACAAGGAGATGCATGCCTTCCAACATCGACAACAATGCTGGAACCAACAGTGCAGATGCTACTAGCAATGAGGTAGGATGCTGGAACCAGCGGTGTGTTTGTGCCGCCCAAGTTTGTACCAGGGTTCTTTTACTGGAACCAGCAACATGGATTGCTACAACCAGCAACGGTCGGTGGCGAGATGCAGCATTTGCGGTGCGCGTGCGCTAGGACGACGACCACCGTATACCGCAATGTTTGCTGCAACCGGCGTCTCTGGTTGCTAGAACCGGTGATTCGGGATGCTGGAACCGGCGATGTTGGGTGGTGGAATGATTTTTGGTGTTGTAACAGCGAGGTTTGTTTTTGATGAACCATCATTGTCTTTTTGGTACTATCGAATTTTTTTTCTACGTCCATTTATGACTTAGTGGAGATCCGCGACGTCGAGGATGACATTTCTTTGCTTTAATTGTGTCAGATTTTTGCTATTACCGGCGACGTGTTTCGCTACATCCATTCACGACGGCCATGGTGCTTTACAACTTAGCTTCGACCGGCGACAGCAAGGACGACATTTTTGCTGCAACTGCGCCGATGTTTTTTGCTACTACCGGCGACCTGTTTGCTACATCCACTAACGACAGATATGGTGCTTCAAGCGCGGCGGCGAGCGCGAACAAGATGCTGGTGGTGGGTCGCCAAATATTCCGGCGACAAGATCTGGAAGGAGCCGGAGGGGCG